GATTACAGTCCTTGAGATGAGGCAAAGTGTATTTTTTGATGAATGGAAAACTGATTACCTTGTCTCTAAACCTTTAATCAATTCACAATAAAAAATTTTTAAAATTATTTGCAATGTACAAGTCATTGGTAAAAGTACTTAAAAAATTAGGCATTTATAAGCAGTAAATTATTTCACCAGAAGAGTAGAAAGAGAAACCACAGATATGTGAAAAAAGTGGCAATGACACATTGAACAAGGGACTAATCTCTAAAACTTGCAGAAAATTTCAACACTTTAGCAACAAAAAGATAAATAATCCAATGTAAAAATAAGCAGAGAACACAAATAGACACTTCACCAAAGAATACAGTCAGTTGGACATAAAGGAATGTTCCCAGTCATTAGTTATTAACCTACCAAACCCAATCAACTGGCATCATGTTGATTACGAATCATAGTTATTCTATGTAAGATTTTCAAGACTAACTCTTTACTGGAGTGGACATCCTCATCTTTCTCCTGAGCAGTGGTAGGTGGTTTGAACTGTTGACCCTGTGGTTAGCTACACAATGCTTAACATTATGCTTAACCCACAACACCACCAAGGATAATCTTTTGTTGCTAAGTGCTGTTGAGTCACTTCTGACCCACAGTGACCCTGTATGGGGTTTCTGAGGAACAGCTGGTGAGCTTGAACTGCCACTTTGCAGTTCAAATGGCTTTGCAGTCTGGTGCATTAACCCACAGTGCCACACCAGGACTCTTTAGAGTGATGTTAATCAAAGCAACAATGAGATATATTTCATGTCAGCAATAATAGAAAAGTAAAGCAAAACAAAACAAAAATCAAATGCTGGCAAGAGTGTAGAGAGACTGGAATGCTCAGACATTGCTGGCTCTCTCTTCTCTATAAACCTATCTATGGCTTGAATGAAAGTTAAGCCATGAGGTCGAGTTTCTTTACAGACTTTTCACTTGCATATAAGGTTATTGAAAATACTATGGCTTGGGTCAAGCATACCTTAGTCTGCATACCTTTACTCTTCAACACTTTAAAAAGGTCTTGTGCCACAGATTTGCCTAATGCAATACATCGTTTGATTTCTTGATTGCTGCTTCCATGAATGTTGATGGTTGAACTAAGAAAAATGAAGTCTTTGACAACTTCAATCTTTTCTCCATTGATAAGAATGTTGTTTATTGGTGAAGATTTTTGTTTTCTTTACATTGAGATACAATCCATACTGAAGGATATGATCTTTGATTTTCATCAGTATTTTAAGTCCTCTTCACTTTCAGCAATCAAGGTTGTATCATCTGCATATCACAGGTTATTGATGAGTCCTTCTCCAATCGTGGTGCCATGTTTTTCTTCCATTTTAATTATGGTGTTGGGGAGAATATTGAAAGTGCCATGGGCTGCCAAAAGAACAAACAGATCTGTGTTGGAAGAAGTGCAGCCAGAGTGCTCCTTGGAGGCCAGGATGTCCAAACTTCATCTCTCATGCTTCGGTCATATCATCAGGGAAGACCAGTTGCTGGAGAAGAATATCATGCTTGGTAAGTTCAAGGGTCAGAGAAAAAGAGGAAGGCCCCCAGTGAAATTGACTGGCAAAGTGGCAGCATCAGTCAGCTCAAGCATGGCAACAATTGTGAGGTTAGCCCAGGACTGGGCAGTATTTCATTCAGTTGTGCATAGGGTCACTATGAGTTGGTACCGACTCGATGGCACCTAAAAACAACAACAACATGCTTTAACACATTTACAGTTGTGGTTGAATGACAGGTAAATACTCACGTTCCAATATCCTCTTTCAAACTCCTATATGTTGTTGTTGTCATGTGCCGTGGAGTTGTTCCGACTCATAGCGACCCTGTACAGGGTTTCTGAGGCTGCAAATCTTTATGGGAACAGAAATCCTCTTCTTTCTTCTGCAGAATAGCTGGTAGTATCAAACTGCTGTTCACAGACCGATTCATAACCACTATGCTACCAGAGTGTGTGATAATCCTATATATCACCTATTGCACCACAGAAACCCTATACGGAGTTTCTGAGTTGGAACTGACTCAAAGGCACATAACAACAACAATACACATCTATTCTTTCTCCCATACCGATTTAGCCTGTGTCTCTGTACATGTATGTACCCACAGAAGTTTGTTGTTTCAAGGTTGTTGTGTTACTATTTACCTCTATGCCCTTTATCTCTGTATTCCTCCCTGTGTTTTTACCTGTCTTCCTAAATTTTCTGTCAACTTCCCTCTTCTTGTATATTCACCTTCCCTTTCGTGTATACTGCCCTCTCGGTCACCTGAGTTAACATGTGTCTTCCCTCTAGCCAGTGAACTACTCTGCCTTCTCTCCTTACCCTGGTAACAATCATAGGATGTTTCTTTTTTTTCCCTCTTTCACATGCTTATATATTTGTGGGAGATATAAAAACATGTATCTCAGTCTTCCTCCCTTACTTATTTAGCCTATGTCTCAATCCAGACAACTATGGACAGAACACTCTTGTATGAAATTTGTGTGTCTATCACTATGGCATGTATACTCTTTATCCCATGTATACTTCCTTGTGTCTTCACCTATCTTCATTATTTTTCTGTCACATAAAAGAGTATAATGAGGACACACATGGACCTCACCAGATGGCATACACAGAAATCAAACTGACTAGACCTGTGGGAAGAGATGGTGTGAAAGCTCCATGTCATCAGCCAACAGAAGGCTAGGAGAACACTGTAGAATAGCATGCCAATTGGTCATATGCGATTCCAGGAAAAAATTGATGAAAATTAAAACAAAACCATAAGAGGCAATACATATCTTAAACATATCTCATTTGAATTTTGAGATCTTCTCAATAGATTAGATCCATTGGACACTAATGACTGAAGATCAGAAGAATTGTGAAATGATACCAAGAACATCATACAGGAAGAAAGTAAAAGGTCTTTAAGAAGACAAAACGCAAGAAAAGACCAAAACGGATGTCAGAAAAGAGACTCTGAAATGTGTTCTCCAGAATAGAGATACTAAAGAAAATGATAGACATGTGGAACTAAAATAGTTGAATGAAAATTTTCGAAGGGTAGTATGAGAAGACAAAGTCAAGTCAAGTACTACAAAGAAATGTGCAAAGATCTAGAGCTAGGAAACCCAAAGGGAAGAACACACTCAGCATTTCTCAAGCTGAAAGAACAAAGGGAAAAATTAAATCCTCAACTTGCAATATGGAAGTATTCTATGAGTAAAATATTGAATTATGCAGGAAGCATTAAAATAAGAAGGAAGGAATACACAGAATCATTTGTACCAAAATTAATGATCAGTGTTCAACTATTTGAAGAGACAGTTTCACATTTTAATTTTAGGTCTTTGATCCTTCTTGAGTTTGTTTTTGCATGGTGTGAGATATGGATCGCTAATGTATACCCAGTTATTCCAGCATAATTTGTTGAAGAGGCTATTTATTCTGCATTTAATAAGTTTCAGCCCTTTGTGCATGCTCTTGTTATTAGATGCCATTGAGTCAGATCCAACTCATAACAATCAGATGCACAACAACGACAAAACCATGCCAGGTCCTGGCAATCCTCACAAATGATGTTAAACTCAAGTCTATTACTACTGTCACTGTGTCAATCCATCTTTTTGTGGGTCTTTCATTTTTTAATCTGGCCCGCCAGTTTATCAATAAAGATGACCTGTTTAAGTAAGTATTTTAAGTACTGTTAGCATTCAGCAACCACTATTGTATCATCTGCATAGAACAAATTGTTAAAAATCTTCTTCCAATCCTGATGCCAGGGTCTTCTTCATATAATCCAATTTCTCAGATCTTACACTCAACATACATATTGAATAAATAAGGTGAAAGGATATAATCATGGCTCACACTTTTCCTGGTATTAAATCATTCAGAATCTCCCATGTGAAAAACTCCCTCTTAGTCTATGTACAGCTTCTTCATTGTTGTTGTTGTTGTTAGGTGCCATCAACTTGATCTGACTCATAGCAACCCCATGCACAACAAAATTCAATACTGTCTGGTTCTGTAACTTCCTCACAATTATTGTAATGCTTGAAGCCACTGCTGATGGCAATGTGCCAATCCATTTTTTTTTGGAGGTCTTCTTCTCTTTCGTCAACCCTCCACTTGCCTAGTATGAAGTTTTTCTCCAAAGTATATGATACGATATCTCATCATGACTTCCAATAAGCAATCTGATTGTACACAGATTTGTTTGTTCCTCTGACTGTCCATGGTACTTTCAATATTCTTCTATGGTATTCCTTATTCAGTGTCCAACTTTCACATGCATGTGAGGCAATCGAAAAAAAAAAAAAAAAAAGCATGGCTTGGGTCTGGTGCACCCAAGAAATTTGCAAAGATCTAGAGCTAGGAAACCCAAAGGGAAGAGCACACTCATTCTTTAAACTCATATCTTTGAACTTGAACACCTCAAATAAAGGCCCAAGTGCATCACATTTGCATAATGCAACATGTCATTTGATTTCTTGGCTGCTTCTTCCATGAGTGTTGATAGTGGATCCAAACAAAATGAAGTCTTTGATAACTTCAATTTTTTTCTTCATTTATCATGATGTTATTTATTGATCCAACAGTAAGGATTTTTGTTTTCTTTACATTGAGATGCAATCCATATTGAGACCTATATTTTTTTGGTCTTCATCAGCAAGTGTTTTAAGTTCTCCTTTCCAGCAACGAAGGTTGTATTATATGCATATAGCAGGCTAATAATGACTCTTCTTCCAATCCAGATGGCATGTTAATCTTAAAATAATCCAGTTTCTTGAATTATTTACTCATAATTGAGACTGAGTCTTGTTGTTGTCATTAAGTGCCATCGAGTCGATTATGACTCATAGTAACCCTGTGCAGGGTGCCTGAGAAGCAGCTGGTGGGTTTGAACTTGTAACTTTCTGGTTCACAATCCAATGTTGAACCTACAGCGCCACACCAAGAGTCCATACAGACTGAGTAACCATGGTGAAAGACTATGACACTGGCATACATGTTTCCAAATTCTGAAGTATTCAGTATCCCTTTGTGTTATTACAATGTTGCATTTTGATCTATATATAGCTTCCTCAAGGAGCTCTGGGAAGTGTAGTGGTTACGAATCGGGCTGCTAATCTCACAGTCAGCAGTTCGAAACTACCAACCGTTACATGGGAGAAAGATGAGGCTTTCTGCTCCCATAAAGGTTTACAGCCTCAGAAATCCTGCACAGGGTCTCTATGAGTCAGAACCAACTCCACAGCACATAACAACAACAACAATGGTTCCAAATGAGTACAAGTAAGTGTTCTGGAATATACATTCTTCACAACGTTATTCATTGCTTGTCATGATCCATACAGTCAAAAGTATTTGCATATCCAATAAAGCAAAAATAA